ATATATAATTAATATTTTTAGGTATATAATTTATATAAAAAATATTTAAATACCTATTTGGTTTCTCAGTTTGATTTCTATTTTTAGATTCTAGAGATATATGGTATGATCGATTATTTATGAAATTTGGTTTAATTTAATTTCGTTTATTTTTTTTTTAATTTAAAAAATTAAGTACCCATTTGTGCATAATCAAAAATAGAATCCACGCTTCTCAATGGGTTAATAACAATCTTTTGATTTTAAGATCTTTTTACCATATTCATTTTTTTAATTTTACAAGACTGAAATAAAATAATAGAACAACAACCCTCTCATTTTATAAATACAAGGTATCTCGAACCCCTTTTACCATCAACTCAATCAAATTTAAAAACACCATCAAACCAATCAAAATATCTATTCCGAAATATTTGGCTTTACGGTTAACAAAAAAAAACCCGCGCTTCTTAAGCGCGGGTCAAAATCTAGTTCTTATTTAAAGTCTGGAACTCTAAACATCAATGTAGAGATAAGTTGTGGAATAAATATTTTCTTGTTTATTTAAGAGATTGAATAATATCATTTGTCCTTAATCTAATTCTCTTTGTCATTACTTTTTTGGGAAGTTAAATTTCGTAATTATTCTTCATATCACTTTAACATATTGAGATGTTTTTAAAAGACACGAATGCTCTGATGTCTTTCACAAAAAAAGTAGGTAATATTATCCGGTAAAGAATGAAAACAGAAAAAAGTTGTGCTTTACCATTGCATGAGCCGGTGGAATGCACTAACAGCAGGCACATTTTGTTTGAAACTAAAAAGTAAAATAATATCGTTGCCCCCACCCAAATAAAAAAAATATGTGGTTAAGAAATCGAACATAAAATAGGCCTACAAATCAATGAAATATAAAATCACACCAATAGTAAATATTGGGCTTGCTTCAATATAATCAGAGGATCAAAGCTATAAACTTCTCACAGATTATATTGTACTAGAACACTAAACCGGCCCTTATTGAATGGGGTCTAATACAAGTTATTAATCTAAATATCAATTGAAGGTAAAAGCCATACTTTAAGGCCCATTAAAAAAATCCTTTTAGAAGCCCATATCAATCGGCCTTTGCAGGCCGGAACGTCTTTACAACCGACACGTGTAGCATTCTAGAGCATCCCAGCTGGCACCGTAGAACATCACTTTTCCCACTTGCTACCGATAACAACAGAGAAAGCGCCACGTAAGATTTATACGCATGCTTTTACCAACATGACCTTAACAAAACAAAGGTGACTTCTATCTTCTGGCTCATAGAGAAGCAAGTTGGGAGATACGAAAAAGTGCAGTGAACAACCACTACAATCTCACCACGTGTCGAACTCCGATGGCTTCTGTTTTTTCCATTTATACCCTTAACGCTGTTTCAGCCTCAAATAAAAAACAAATAAAAAATTTCACAAAAAATTAGAGGAAAATAGTTGTGGCTGAGATTGATTCTCCCTTTCTTCTTCTTCCAGTCTTCCTCCTTCTTCTTCATCTTCTTCTTCACTAATCTTCTTCTTATCCAGCTCTGCTAAAAGTTTAAAATATAGTTTTTTTTTAGTTTCTTCGGATTTGATTGTTTATCTTGTGAGATGATCTAGTTTCTATTTCGGATTAGGTTCCTCAATGATGGCTACTCTCAACGGTAATTTACATTTATTATCAGTTTATAGGGTTTCCTTTTGCATCTTAGAATTGAAAAAGAACCACTTGAGAAGGATATATATTAGCTCTCTAAGCTGTTATTAGCATATTGATACAAATTTGAAGATGTGTGATGGTTTTTAAAGGTATTGGATGCGGTGGAAACGTTTGGGTGAGGCTTTTGAGAAAAGAAAAGGGACTTCTTTTGAGTTCAAGCTAACTCGGTGGATTTCTCCTTTCATTTTCTAAATCTCTCTTTCTCTCTATATTGTCTTATTAGTGTGGATAAAATATTTCTCATTAGTCTCTTCCTCTTTTGCAGTTTCTCTAGAATCTTTTTAAGTGCTCTTTTCCAACTAGAAATCACAACGGCTTTGCAATTTGGGAACTTTGGTGTTTGGAGGGATCAGAGATGGCTTCTTTGTTGTGTTAGAGAGGATTTGAAGCAGCGGACAGCTGCAAAGATCCGGTTATGGATACTAATACATCTGGAGATGAATTATTAACTAAGGTAATAATAAAATGAAAATATTGGGTGAGGGGTTTGGGTTTGGATACTTGTTGTTGTTGTTGTGTGAGTAAAGGTTTGGTTTTGGTAATGAAATAGGCAAGAAAGCCATATACTATAACAAAGCAGCGAGAAAGATGGACAGAGGATGAACATGATAAGTTTTTAGAAGCCTTGAGGCTTTATGGAAGAGCTTGGCAACGTATACAAGGTCTTATTTTAATTTAGCTATGGATATATATTGTTTGCTTTTATTTACAACCTTCTATCTCCTCAATCTCTCTTCTTTTCTTTGTGTGTACAGAACATATTGGGACAAAGACTGCTGTTCAGATTAGAAGTCATGCTCAAAAGTTCTTCACAAAGGTAAGCTCTTCCTTTTTTAAATAAAAAAACTTAAGTGAAGATACACTTGGTTGGTGTTGAGATAATATCAATCAATGAACTTAGGCGATGACCATGTTTTAGACGTTTCCTATCACTGTCTGAGTTCTGTGTGGAACAACAATGATATTAAAAGGTTTTTCTATGGTTCTGTTCTGTCTCATTTGGCGTCTTTGCTAAGTATAGTTCTTCGGTTCCAATGATAGCTTTACCATTTTCATTTTATATGCAAACGAATTGAGTTCATGAATTGTCCAACTGGAATACTTACTCTAACACATGTCTATAGTAACCAAAAAAGCATTTGCATTTGCATGACACAATTGTCTCATACTAAGTAAAGTCAGATGAAATAATGGGATTGCATTGACTCTTTTAGCCATTCAAATGGAAAAAACCAATACACCTTGGCCCTATAGGACATGGCATGAAGTAACTGTCTCGTGTCTCGTCTACCCCCCGAACAACTCGGGTTAGTATAAGAATCTCTTAACCTCAGGAGTCTCAGGGTTGCATTTACAATCTTCTCCGATATGGGAAAAAAAAAACTCACAGTTATGGTTCAACTCTATAGCTGGAGAAAGAGGCTGAAGCTAAAGGCATTCCTGCTCTTGACATAGAAATTCCACCTCCTCGTCCTAAAAGAAAACCCAATACTCCTTATCCTCGGAAACCTGGCAACAGTGGTCCATCATCAAAACTTGTATCCTCAGCCTCTTCTTCACAATGTAACCAGACCTTCTTGGATTTGGAAAAAGTGCCGGCTACTCAGGTTTATCTTTGATTCTTCTTCTCTCTCTATCTCTCTTCTTCTTTCTGTTGTTTCTTCTTGTGATAAATATGTTATGCTTTTTTTTTTTTTTTTAATGGTTAGGAAACATCAACTGGGAAAGAAAACCAAGATGATAACTGCTCAGGCGTTTCTACTGTGAACAAGTATCCCTTACCAAAGAAAGCAACTCAAAAATCTGAACCGTCTCTAAGAAAGGTATTAAAACTTGTATTCCAAGAACATGATGATTAAAACTTGAAGTTCAACAGCATGTAAGAAATCAAAACTTGTTCCATTCTGATTTTACAGGAAAGTGCGGATAATGACACAAGTAAGGCGTCAAATGTGGACAACATGGTTCAAGATGTTCCCGAGAAGAACAAAGACAGAGATGGTGACGGTGTGCCCAGCAGCGCAAGGAACTACCCTTTGCATTTTCATCCCCCAGGTATGGTATCTCAAGACTTGATGTTTTGTCCTATGGGAGATCGTGTTCACGGGCACTCTAGCTCGCACGTGAATTTTCCAGCTACAACAACATCATCTGCTACTACTACTACAACAACTGCTCAACAGGCGTTTCCAGCATTCCCTTCCCAAGATGATTACCGTTTCTCTTCTACTTTCCCCAATCTCATTATGTCAAGTCTCCTACAGAATCCTGCAGCTCATGCTGCAGCCACATTCGCTGCTTCTCTTTGGCCCTATTCTAACGTCGGGAAATCAGGAGATTCATCAACGCAAATGAGTGCTTCTTCTCCACCAAGTATAGCTGCCATTGCTGCGGCTACAGTAGCTGCTGCAACTGCTTGGTGGGCTTCTCATGGACTTCTTCCTGTATGTGCTCCTCCTGCTCCCGTCACATGCCTTCCATTACCACCAACCTTTGCTGTTCCAACTCCAGCGACTGATACCGTTGAGAAACAAAACACAGCTCTGCAAGATCAAAAGTTGGCTTCAAAATCTCCAGCTTCATCATCATCCGACGATTCAGAAGAGACTGGAGTAACCAAGCTAAACGCTAACTCAAAAAAAAATGGTGACAAGGAAGAGGAAATTTTTGTTGTTGATCCAAACGCTTCCCCGAAGAAAAAGCTAGTGGACCGCTCATCGTGTGGGTCAAACACACCTTCAGGAAGTGACGCGGAAACAGACGCATTAGATAAAATGGAAAAAGATAATGAGGATGTGAAGGAGGATGCAGATGCAAACCAGCCAGTTGTTAATGAGTTAAGCAACCGCAGGAGTAAAATCAGAGACAACACCAACACCAACAACCAAACTACTGATTCATGGAAGGAAGTCTCCCAAGGGGTAAAACAAAACAGAAAACAATGATTTGCAGAGAGTTTTTTTCTTGAAACTAACACTAAGTGTGTATATAAAATCTTGTTTCAGGGTCGTAAAGCGTTTCAGGCTCTGTTTGCAAGAGAGAGATTGCCTCAAAGCTTTTCACCTCCTCAAGTGGCAGAGAACGTGAATGGGAAACAAAGTGACACGTCAATGCCAATGGCTCCTGATCTCAACAAGATTCAAGATTCTTGTGATGCAGACCAAGAAAGTGTAGTAATGATCGGTGGCAATAGCCTTAGAACGAGACAGTCAGGGTTTAAGCCATACAAGAGATGTTCAATGGAGGCGAAAGAGAGCCAAGCTGGGAACACAGACAATCAAAGCGATGAAAAAGTCTGCAAGAGGCTTCGATTGGAAGGAGAAGCTTCAACATAACAACAGACTTTGAGGTAAAAATAAAAATCTTTTGTTTTTTGCCCAATATCTTTAAATCAAAGTGTTGTTAGTAATGAAAGAAACTTATTTTTTTTTATTTTCTAAATCCATCTGAACGGTTCTTTGTTCATGTCAGTTCATGTACCAAACTACTCCATCAACATGTCTTGTCCCTTGTCTGTGTTTGTGTCTGCTGCTGTTACTGTTAATTAACCACTAAGCAATGGAACTATGTCTTTTACTCTTTTGCTGTTTTTCTTTTGAATTCTGGATATTTTATGAGATCATAAATAGTTTTAGAATGATAAAAGATGAATTGTACAAAGTTTTCAACTTTGAATGTTTTGCTTTTGGTGTTTCTTCCAACAAATCTTCAGCTTTCATTACTTTGAATGTTTTAAACTTGACTAGTTGACTTGAATGAAGGTGCCTGCCTGCCCGTTGCCCAAGGGTATTCCGATGGGCTTAAGATTTCTTCACTACTGGGCCAACATACAACATTAACATTTTATTAAGATTAGTTAATGGGCCTAAGGCCACGTATGACGCTAATCTGTTTACACTTTCAGATTTTGCCAATATCTCTGAATCTGTGTGATTGATGAATAATAATTTTATTTTTTCCCAACTGACCATGTGGTATCATGGAACGAAATTATCACACTCCATTATTTGTGAAAAGGCAATGAACATCTTTACACTCCATTGTGGAATGTGTCTCTTTAGTCGTAATGTAACACTAAATAATTAATAAAAGTCGTAGTCTATTATTCAACATCGTGATATTTCACGCTTGGCCATAACCCACCACGTTAATAAAATTCTAAAACTATTACTTCATTTGATTTTTTTCATGTATATACTCTAAAGCGAACCATCCACGTAACTGAAAGCAATGAAAATCTTTACACTTTATTACACGATATATAGAGATTCGATCCGTGAATCTCGGCTGCTGCTCGTATATATAAATACACCTAAAAAAACGCTTAGCTGCATTTTCCTACACCACCGCGCTTCACTTTCCCTTTTATTTCTCTCCCAAAGTCTCTCCCTTTTTTGGACTCCAAAGGTATGTTTCTTCCTCTTTCATCGTTCTCTTTGTCCTTAGATCTCAAAAAGTTGGTGCTTTTCGATGTTTGATCATCTGGGTTTTGCTCCAAATCTCAAAACCATCAATCTTTTTTTATCGAGAAACGAACACAGATCTTTAGTACACCTTTTTTTTCCGTTAAAGCTGGTCTCTTTAAGCCCATCTAGTTAGGGGTTAATGATGTATGTATATGATTCTGAGTGATGGAAAACGTTTGGAAATGTGATTTTGACAGATGACTGAAGAAACCAAAGATAACCAGAAGCTGCAGCGACCTGCTCCTCGTCTTAACGAGAGGATCCTCTCTTCCTTGTCTCGGCGTTCCGTTGCTGCTCACCCATGGCACGATCTTGAAATTGGTAAATAAAGAAGCATGATTTCAAATCTCTCATGCCCTTTTTTTATTTTGTATATTTGGAACTAAATCATGAATTTTTGCAGGTCCTGGAGCTCCACAGATTTTCAATGTGGTAAGTTTCTACGCTCCTTTTTTTATTTACTATAAACTAGATTCTTGAATAGACTTTTTTGAATCTCTTTTGGATGAAAAATTGGGAAATTAGGTGGTTGAGATCACAAAGGGAAGCAAGGTGAAATATGAACTTGACAAAAAGACTGGACTCATTAAGGTTGATCGTATTCTCTACTCATCAGTTGTTTACCCTCACAACTATGGTTTCGTTCCTCGCACCCTATGTGAAGACAATGACCCTATTGATGTCTTAGTCATCATGCAGGTATCAAATCACTCTTTTCTTTCTTCATTTTTTGCCATGCCACCAAATTGTTTTTTACATTTCTCACTCAATTTTACATAAATTTGTGTAGGAACCTGTGCTTCCTGGTTGTTTTCTCCGTGCTCGTGCTATTGGATTAATGCCTATGATTGACCAGGTTACTAAAAGGCTCTTTGTTTTTTTTTCCTTCTTTCTTCTCAAACCATTGAGGTTTTGCTTTATAAATGGTTCATGTTTTCTTTAATTTAGGGTGAGAAAGATGACAAGATTATTGCAGTTTGTGTTGATGATCCTGAGTACAAGCATTACACTGACATCAAAGAGCTTCCTCCTCACCGTCTCTCTGAGATCCGTCGTTTCTTTGAAGACTGTATCCTTTTTTATTCTTCATTGCTCGTCTCTGTCTATTAATATCTCAGGGAGTATTAGGTTTTCTATTTAACGTATATAATAGACAAGAAGAATGAGAACAAGGAAGTTGCTGTTAATGATTTTCTGCCATCTGAGAATGCTATTGAAGCTATCCAGTACTCGATGTAAGTCTCTGTTTCTTTCTCCACTAAGAACCAAACTTTCTTACAGCTTTTTCAAGTTATAAAAGCAACTTCATGGGTTTTGATTTCTAATTTACAGGGACCTTTATGCTGAGTACATTCTCCATACCCTGAGACGTTGAAGCTTTTCCTTGCAAGCTTCATTTTGTTTCTTTTTCTTTCAATGATAATAAGAAGCACCTGTTCGTGATGGATACTTTCTCTTCATTTTCTTGGATTTTATCATTTGACCTTGTGAACTTTATATTGTTTTAAATCCTCTCTGTGTCATTTAACATTTTGCTATTTGTCTTTGGTTTACATAAGAAATACAAACACCATCAAGTTATACTTTTTTCCTGAACATTACTTAAAAACAGAGGAAGCATTAAACTGACTGAAGCGAAGTATTAAACACAGGTCATTTGGTTTTAACTTCTAACAACATAAATAGAATAAAGATAAGTTTAAACAACACATCATACAACAAATGGCCAAATCCACCGCTATTTTAAAGAAAAAGAAAACTAAGAATAAGTTTTATTGAGAAGCTCAAGAAGAAGAGAAGCAGCAGAATCTTTAGCCTTCTTAACACTCGGCATTGGCTCTCCAATACATTCATCAGTCCATCCTCTATCGCTTGTATTCACTCTTACCCCAAACGTAAACCTCTTTGCATGCGCCGGTCCTCCTTCCTTCACACATCTACAAAATCCACCACAACAAGAATAAAACACTGAAACAAAACCAAAACCATTGCAATTTTACACAACATTTAGTTTTACCTGTAAGAAGGCATTGGCCAATTCTTCCTCAAGCAAATGTCATTCAAAGTCTGTCTCGTAAACGTCTGATTCCCATTCTTCTTGTTCCCATTCTCACTCTCATCTCCTGCATTCCCGTTTGCTTCCTTCTCTTTTGACTCAGCTATTTCTTTCTCCTTCAATGCTGCGAGTGCGTTCCTCGCCGCTAGCTTCTGAGCCATTTTCTTCTGAGGGTTCTGCGCTACTCCCACTTGCACACCGTCGATGAAAACTTCCACAGTTGCTGTGTTACCACTACGACTCGCCTTGTACTCTAACCCTTCTGCTTGTTGCTGGCAACGCTCTTGCAGCTCTCGAACCGGATGCATCGGAAGTGTCTCTGGTGTCACCATTGGTTGTAGCAAAGGTTGAAAAACCTTCCAAGCAGCACTTGTGTCTTTTCCACTATCAAGAAAGATAGCACCTGCAATGGATTCAACTATATCTCCAAGAACTTTAGGCGCTTTACAGTCTCCCAAACCAAAAGAGTTAAATCCCGGTTTAGAAGACTCGGTTTGAACTTCCTTCACAAATTCTCGAATCTGGAAAACAATAATATTTGTAAATGTTTGAAAACAAAACTAGTTTTAATTTATTATTGGAAAGTCTTGTGTTGTGTTACCTGTTTCTCGAGGGCGCTAGAGCCGTGACGAAGGTACAAATGGAGTTTATGTTTAACCGCAACACGAGCAAAATTCTCGTTATTAACAGCAGCAGCTCGAAGATCAGTTAACCGACCAGGAGGAAGGCTCGTGTACGTGAAAAACAAGTGTCTTGTAATAAGATGATCCAAGACCGCATCACCAACAAACTCCAATCTCTGGTAACACGAAACACCTGAAGACGGCCTCGAAGCATGTGTTATAGCTTCCACGAGAAGACCTTTCTCTGTAAACTCGTATTTCAAAGCTCTCTCTAGACCAACAAAGTCTATGCTCTTGAGTACACTCTCTGGAACACAAACCGGTTTAACCGTCCCTTCGGTTTCTTCAGGATCATCCTCCTCCACTTGTATCCCAATCCATTTCATCAAATGGTTCGCAGCAACTTTACCTCCTTCCACGTAGTAAACACCGATCAAAGCTTCAACAACATCAGCCAACGTTTTGCTAGATAAGACTCTGTAAGAGCTCAAGTCACCCTCTAGTTCACCATCTTCCATCTCTCCATCTTCAACCACGTCCTCGGAGACATGTTTTTCCTCTTCGTCGAAAAACGAGGATCCTCCATCTTTCGTGTCCTCGTCAAAGACGGGAGGTACGCCAGGAGCAGACCATCTAGAAGGAGCGAAACGATCCGCTTGGATGTATGACTGAAGCCCTTTAACTAGAGCATACTGGTAAAGAACCATGTTGCTGACCATTTGCTGTCTCATCCTTGTAAGCTGACCCTCGTGCTTTTGTGGGTACTTGAGAAAGAGAAAACGACTAACCACCCATTTCAGATACGCATCTCCTAAAAGCTCTGCTCTCTCGTAGCAGAATGTCTCCTGGCACGAGGCAGCAGTCAAGGCTTCCAGAATCTGTAGAAGAAACAAATGTTTAGTAACAACAAAAAATAAAAACAGGATAAAAGGACACTGACTAAGCATAATAATAAACAATACCTTTGAGGTTGGAATGGGATAACTAATCAAGTTTTTAAGTTGAACAGCGAGCAAAATGCTCTCAACTCTTCTCATTATAGAGGGCAGCCTCTGAGCACCACGGACAAGTGAACCCGAAAGAGGATGCACCACGCATAGTTCAGGTGGAAGAAACACGTAATATGTCTTATCAAGTATCGTCTCAGATTCACCTTAAATTGCAATAAAAAAAACAAACAAAAAGAATGTTTAATTCTACTGACTAGAATCAATAAATTTCTAAGACAAGATTTTCTTCAAGTAGTACCTGACTGTTCAAACCGAGGAGAAAGAAGGTTCTTGCAATAAGACACACCTCGTCCTTTGATCAAAGGCTGTTTTTTACAGTTTAAATTAACTCCATACCTAATAAATAAATGAGAAGACTTGATAGCCCCAATCACCTCAGGTTGTGCAAGAAGAAGAAGAAAAGCATGTCGTATACAAAAAGATATACATATATACGCTTTGCTTCTCAGTCTTGCACAACACAGGAGGTGAACTGAGACCATGCAAATCCTCGTGGTAACAAAAATAGTATTAGTAGAGTGCTTCTCTATTAACCGCAGAAATTATTTAAAAAAAAAAAAGAAATCATACTTTTGCTTGTAGTAGTCAGCATAAGTGTTGTATTCCAAAGGACCAAGATATCCCTCTTTCCTTGGGAATGATGTTTCTGCACTCATATCATAACAGATAGAGTCCACATAAAACCGCTTTCCTGAATGTGCGGCTGTCACTATTTTCCCTAAAAGACTTTCTGCAACCATGCACCCATCTGCCATCATCAGTTTCCCTTGTGATGATACATCACCACTTTCTACTTCCTCTCTTACAGGTAACAATCCAGAAGCTCTCACCACATCAAAAGATGCAACAGCTCCTCTAATACCATAAGTTGGGTGAGATTTCTGCTGCCCCATTCCAATGTTGTTACGAAGTTTACCAAACCCATATTCCCTTCTGTCCCCACCAAGAGTTCTCTCATTAGTCCCCAGATATACGTCTGGACGAGCTCTCTGAAGAGGGTTGTCCCACACAGTGGTTTCAGTAATTTTTTCAACTAACTCCCAGTTGATCCCTTTTATTGGTTCCACGGACATGTTGTCAGTCACAGGGACAAACAAATAGGCCTTTGCAGGATCCCATGGTGTTGTGGAGGGTTCGACATCAACATCTAAGACTATACTCATCAATCTCACATGAAACTTTTTAAGAGATGATAGCTGCACAAGAAGATGCCAGCAATAACATAAGATAAAAAAAGAGTTTTTTAAGTGGAAAATATAAAGGGTTGTTCCTCGATCAAACCTGGCTTTCTGTAATATCCAGTGATCCCCTGAAAGCAAGAGATGCTTTGGTGATCATGGCTCGAGCAACATAAAGATCCATAGACATCGATAATACCTGCCAAAGTATAACAACAAAACAATCATTAGAAAAAGGGAAAACATCATTGCTATAACTACAAAATCTGACACTTAAAACCGTAGAGAGAGAAGCAAGAACCTCTGCATCCAGCTCATTGCCAAAAAGAACCGCGAACTCTGAAACTTCGGTTAAGAATGGATCTTTTGAAGACGCAGAATCTACACATGTAACACTGTACATGTATAAATGGAATAGCTGTGAGCTCTCACAAGCTTCCTTTCCTGATAAAATCCAATCTCCCTGTGTAGAACGCAGAAAAACAAAATCTAGTTTTGACACCACATTCCCACGAAATTAGCCAAATTTTCAAAAGGTTAGTGAAAACTATACCTTAAGTACATCCGCTACACCTTCTGGATAGAACTCTCTGTGTCTAGCAGTTCCAGGAACGGGTTCACCTTCTCCATCCTGGTCAGCCTTCTCAGCGTCTTGACCACTTCCCTTGTCCGGCAATAGCATATCCGTAAATGCACCCATCTCATGCAGTTTCTTGCAACCAGCTAAACATACAGCCTACGTATCAAACAAACACTACTTTAAGACATGTAACATCGTAAAGTAATAAACGAATAAGATAAACAAAAACTATTAAATCCACCTGTTGTGCAACATGCATTGAACTACAAACAGGACCCTCGAGTATTTCAAAGGGTGCATTGCAAGGAAGCTGAAGCCTGCATGAAAACTCGGTGTGTCCCCCAGGCTTTTCATGTTTCTCAATGCTGAACTCAGGACGCAGAATCGCATACCTAACACACAAGAGGATAAACATCTCATGCAAGAAAGATCATTAGGACAAAACATGAAACGTACCTGTCACCGGGAAGCTGAGAGCAGTAGAAATGTATGAGACCAACCGCGGAATTCAAGCTAACCATGGCACCAGTTGTCTCCACCTTATAAACTGTACCAGGCACAGCCTCCATGGAGATTAGCCTCGATGTATCTTTGAGGTGACTAAGATCAGTTCTTTCTATCGCTTCTTTTCGCAATGTCTCCTCACTGTTCCTAGCATTCCTTAAGAATGCTGCGTGAGATTTATTTTCCCTACATGTATGACAATCCAGATTGGGTGACCAGTTGCTAAATAAAATTATTACATATATGAGAGTCCAGATTCATGTGTTTGTACCTCTCAACCATGAGAATGTAGTCTGAGCCAGGTTTTCTTGCCCTACCACGAGACTGAATGTATGCTAGTACCGTCTTAGCAAGGTCGAAACGCATGACAACGTTACATTGCTTGATATCAAGACCTTCCTCAGCAACGCTTGTGGCCACTAAA